GGCTCCGAGCTGTCAGCCCAGAGCCCGACACGGGGCTCAAACTCGCCGACCGCAAGATCACGACCTAAGCGGAAGTCAGATGCTTCACCGGCTGAGCCACCCAGGTGCCTCCAGAAGAGCTTTAACAGAACCTACCTTCCGGAAGGTCTGGGTGTTCTCATGCCCACCCGGGCTCCTGGGGGAAAGCCTGGCCCGGAGCTGTCTGGTGATGGTTGGGGACCTCTTCCTCCCTCCGCGCTGACATGTGTCCCCACGCAGGCGTTCCATGAAGTACACGCTGTGCAGCGACAACCATGGCGTCAAGCCCCCCACCCCAGAGCAGTACCTGACCCCACTGCAGCAGAAGGAGGTGTGCATCCGGCACCTGAAGGCGCGGCTGAAGGACACGCAGGACCGGCTCCAGGACCGGTGAGCCGTTGGGGGTGGGTGGGCAGCCCTGGGCAGCCCTGGAGACCCGCTGGCCTGGAGACCCAGGGCCCTGGGGCACTTCCAGGAGGAAGGAGCCGCTGAGGGCTTCCCGGCACCCGGCCTGCCCTTTCCTTCCGGCAAAGCCCTGGGGGAGCCCCTTTCCAGAGCCCTCAGCTGCCCCTATGCTCCCCTCAGCTGCTCTCCCTGACTGCAGGCAGCTTCCCCTGACAGCCGGCCAGTCCTCCCCACACCCCAAGGTGGTGCTCTCCCACTTTGGGCCTGGCAGCCCCATTTGGCCACTTCTTACCCCCTGGCTCCTTTCCACCTGGGGAGCAGGGCCACAGGGCATCCTTCCTGGCTCACCTTCCCTGTTGGGGGGGGACACCCCCTCAGCCCCTATTTGTTTCCACCCAAGGAGTCACCAGTTGGGGGGGTGGGGGCTCTGGGCCCACCAGTTCAGGCCCCATAAGCCTTTCTGCTCATCTACTTACAGACGATGTGAGATCCTGAGAAACCTTTCCTGAGCTCCTACCCAGCCCAGGGGACCCCAGCCCCCCCGCCCCCCACGGTCCCATCTGAACTCATTCTCCAGACCTGAG